CCGGAGCCCCGAGCCCTTTAAATCCCCGCCTGAGCCCTGTTGCCCGAGCCCTGGGATAGCGGCGGCCGGGCTCTGTTGGGAATTTAAAGGGCCCCGGGGCTCCAGCCGCCGCTACCACCCTGACCCTTTAAATCCCCTCCAGAGCCCCGCCACCACTACCCCAGGGCTTCAGCAGCAGGGCTCAGGTGCGGATTTAAAGGGCCGGGCGGTAGCGGCGTCTAGAGCTCCGGGGCCCTTTAAATCCCCGCCTGAGTCCCGCCGCCGCCTCTACCCCAGGGCTTCAGCAGCAGGACTCAGGCGGAGATTTAAAGGGCTTGGGGCTCCGGCAGCTGCTACCGCCCCGGCCCTTTAAATCCCCTCCCGAGCCCCGCCACTGCTACCCTAGGGCTTTGGCAGCAGGACTCCGGTGGGGATTTAAAGAGCTGGGGAAGTAGCAGTTTCTGGAGCTCCGGGACCCTTTAAATCCCCGCCGGAGCCCTGCTGCTGCTACCCCAAGGCTTTAAATTGCTGTCTGGGAAAGCCGGTCCCAGGACGGTGCACCGGCTCTTACTGGTACTCCGTACCAGGGCGTACTGGCTTACTTTCACCTCCGCTCCTCTCTGACCCCTACCCACTCCATGCAAGCAGTGGGCAGGGCCTCAAAGGGAAGAGGCTGAGTGGGGGCGGGAGCTCAGGTGGGGCCTCAGAAACAAAGAGGCCAAGCGGGGGCAGGGCCTCTGGGTGGAGCAGCAGGCGGGCCTCGGTCCAGGCACCGGGGACCACAAAAGATTAATCAGGCCCTGCAGGTGCTGAGCACTCCGTATTTTTTTTTTTCAGTGGGTGCTTGAGCCCCGGAACACCCACGGAGTCAGTGCCTAGGATACCATGGTATTACCGCCTAATATACTCTAAATATCTCTCCCCCTTCAGTCTGAAAAAGGACATAACGTAGTTACTAATGCAGGACTATCAAAGCTACTCTTATTCCATGTGCAGCATGCTGCATGTCCAGTCTGAGCGGAGGATGACGACTTCTCTCTAGCTAGCAGCTCACAGGCAGCACAGCAGGATTTGGAACAGCAGCTGTATTTCTTGTGCAGCTGTCTCAGCAACAGCTCCCTGCTCTGTAGCGCCAGGGTCACCTGCAGACTCACTGGTGCTATCACAAGTCACCATCTGTGGTTGTATTGTAGGCTCAATATTTTCAACAGGTGTAAAACTTCCTGCTGAACCTGTGCTCAAAAGCTAGTTTCTGGGTCTTCTCCAGGACATGTTTGGTGCCACTTCTACCTGTTAAGGCATGGGACCAGTCTGTGACACAATCACTCCAGGTTTCCACCAATTGTCTTGATCATCTCTTACTACGACTTTTTCTCCCACGTGAAAGCTGTGTGTTCATGTGTGACTATCTGTGGCCATTTGATCACATTGTTTCTTGTGAACTCCCTCTATAGATCAGGCTTTAAGAAGTCCAGGTGTTATCTTAAATTATGTCCCCAAAACATCCTCGCTGGTGTCTGATTTGTAGCAGCATGAGGTGCATTCCTATAGGCAAATAGAAAATTTGCAGTCTTGTGTTGTAAGCTACCCTTATCCGGGGTCATAGCATGGATCACTTGCTAGAATGTCTAGACAAACCTTTCCACTAATCCATCTGTGGCAGGTTGGGAAGGAGCTGATGTGGCATCTTTGTTCTTTTGACAAACAACTGAAACTCTTTGGATGTGAATGGAGTTCTGTTGTCACTCACAATATCCCAGCCTCGAAAACAAGCTGGGTCATCATCCGAGACTGCTATGTCATGAAATATATGGCAGAATGCAGGTAAAACAGAGCAGGGGATATACAATTCTCCCCCAAGGACTTCAGTCACAAAATTAATTAACCCAGAGTGTCATCAGCATGGAAGCATGTCCTCTGGAATGGTGGCCGAAGCATGAAGGGGCATACGAATGTTTAGCATATCTGACACGTAAATGCAGGCTACAAAAGTGCCATGCAAATGCCTGTTCTCACTTTCTGGTGACAATGTAAATAAGAAGAGGGCAGCATTATCTCCGTAAATGTAAACCAACTTGTTTGTTTTAGCGATTGGCTGAAGGAGAAGTAGAACTGAGTCGATTTGTAGGCTCTGAAGTTTTACATTGTTTTGTTTTTGAGTGCAGTTATTTAACAAAAAAAAAATCTACATTTGTAAGTTGCATTTTCACGACAAAGAGATTGCACTACAGTACTTGAATGAGGTGAATTGAAAAATACTATTTCATCATTTTTACAGTGCAAATATTTATAATAAAAATATACACTTTGATCTCAATCACAAACACAGAATACAATATATATGAAAATGTAGAAAAATATCCAAAATATTTAATAAATTTTAATTGGTATTCTACTGTTTAACAGTGCGATTAAAACTATGATTAATCACGATTCATTTTAAATCGCGATTAATTTTTTTGAGTTAATTGCGTGAGTTAACTGCGATCAATCAACGGCCCTACTTAAGACTTGTCTTGTGATTTATACAAACCAGCTTTGTCCATGGCACTGTAAGGATCACGCCTGGGATGTGGGTTATTGGGCCTATGGTCAGAGCCATAGGGGTGGCCAGGCCTGGAGGTTAGAGCGGAAATGGGCTGGCGTGAAGAATCAGGACCACAAGCTGCTCCGGGACATAGTTGAAAGCAGAGCCATAGGTCGGAGCCAGGGTCCAGAAGCCAAAAAACAAAGCTGATGGGCGAGCTGGAGATGTGCCTGGGGAGAGGAGCTGGAGTCCAGAGCCAGGGGTGTCAAATACAGAGAAGGGCAGGAACTGGGCCAGGAGCAGGACCAAATGCAGCTGCAGACAGGGAAGGCGCTGAGCAACCACGAGCACAGGCTGTGGCAGGGTCAAGCAGTAGCTAGCTCCATTCCACCACCAGTTGGGAAGTGCCGTCAACTGGGCAGCCCCTGCTAGAGTCCGCTGTATCCACTGTCTTGTCTGACCCTGCTGCAGCTGGCTCCCTGACAAATGCGTCCATGCTGTGCAGCTGAATCTTGGAAAGGTTTCCATTTCTTCCTTTTTGCTCTCAGCCTCTGCTCAGCCACCATCACATGGGACTTTGTGGGGGCCTCATGCCCATGCTCTCGTCCTCGTGAGATGGAGTACCAGCCATGCCCCGTGGCACCTGCTCCAGGGCTCCCTGCCAAACAGCAAATGCGGCCATTATTGCAAACACCAGCCAGTTAGACTGAAATAAGCCCTTGTATGTGATAATTGTGAGGTTCTTCTTGGCACTGCCTCCAGCCTCCATTTGTAGGCAGGCTTGGATGAAGTCGGTCCTGAAGAAATGCTGCTCACTGGCTAACGAGGCAAAGACAGCCTCCATTTGAGTCCAGGGACACTGATCTGCATGCAGCAATGGCTAAGGATAATCTTGAAATCATACCAGTTCCAGACACCTCAATTCATTTCACTGCTGGCTCTCTTGGGAGCTCCTTGGCTGGAACTCCAGCACCCTCAAAGAGTGGAAATTCTGCCTCTCCCTTCGGCCGTGTCTCCAAAGGTACCGGGTGAGCTTTGCACAACTCCCAAATCGCTCGCTCTCTTCCAGCTTCCTCATTTGTTTCCCGATGCCATCAGCTGCCTTGTCCCAAAGTTCCGCTTGTTTGCGTGTCAGTCTGGAGCTCCGCAGTTTTTTACCGCTGCAGGGGTGTGTTTGTGTTGCCATGGCAGGCCAGCTGAATCTCTCAAACAATGCAGGACCCTCACACTTCACAACATAGAGATTTAGCAGCTGCTCGTTACAGATAGATGTTACCTTCCCTGTAATAATGCCCAGGGGAGAGAGGGTTTCTCTTTATATTTTCTAGTTACACAGAGATTTTCTGCTCTCTGATAACCACACTGTGAAATCCCAGTCACAGCAGAGCCTCGATCCAGCTCCATTTTGTATCTTACCCTTCCCATTGGAAAGAAATCCAAATAACCCTTCATTTATTGTATTCTAAATGTAAGTAACTGTAGAGATGCTGCAGTGGTTGTCATACTGTGGGTTGGGACCCAAAGTGGGTCCTGACCCCATTTTAATGTCTCACTGCAGCCTGGGACTGAAGCCTGGTCCAAGTCCAATTACCCATGCAGTAATTTTTGTTGTCAGAAGGGGTCGTGGTGCAATGAAGTTTAATATAGCATTCTCCACAGTCTCCCTGTTATCATCTGCAATGCTGAACTCCTCGGGGATGGCCCTTAGAGGGATGGGGTGTGCTTTTTGCAATCCCCAGCACATTTCCTACATTCACCCCAATTTCTTGCAGTTTCTCCAGGGTTTGTCCCTGACCCAACTACCATTTGCATTGTGCGACTGTTTGTCGCATGGACACACAGTCCTTGAGCATTGCTCCCACTGTGCTTTCTTCTTGACCCACAGTTTATTTGTTGTATGGATCAAATGGAGCTGTTGCAGCTCCCTGGCATCTATCATAGCTACACACAGTAGATACAGAAATTTCTGGTGTGTGTTTTAGGTCAAGCCAGCATCACTGGGTGTTTTTGGCTTGCTTCAGTGTGTGTACCATACACTAACTGGCCCCTTAATGCATCATTTCAACTCTCTGAAGCCTGGTAACACTGAGCCTTGAGCCAGCCCCATATTCACAACATTTCTCAGCTTCTTTTTGATTCCTTTTGTAACAGCGGAAACACTTGGTGCTCACCGATGGCTGGGGGCGGGGTGTATTGTTGGCTGAATTTCCACAATTGCAGCAAACATTTTCTCTGTGAGATTAGTAGGGGCTGGTAAGCTGTGCAGCAGATCCTACATTTTAGCCCCCTTTACACTTAGTAAATCTGCCACTTCTGTCTTCCCAGTGATACTGTTATAGATGATCTACTATTCCAGTCTCTCAATCTAGGTGAGCCATAAAGGAATACCACCTACTTCCTACACACTGCAAAAGGGATGGGAGAGTGTAAGCAATGGAGACAGCAGAGCAAGAGGTGTGGGGGAGAGGGCGGGTAGCATCCGGTTCATACTCACGTTTTGATGACCTGTCCCAGGTCATATCTGTCAGTCACCTCAGATGGCTGGTTGTAATCTTTCTTGTCTCCCAGGGTGACACAGCCAAACGGCATTGCCGGGTCTGGTGCTGGAAGGCAAAGAAGCAGAGAGTTAGATTTCCATATTTTGAGGGAGTTTTGCATGAACCTGCCACTTGGCCCTGTTGCTTTACTCCTTGCCTTCCTGGTTCTAGGCATGCTCAGGGACACACATGGTTGCTGAGACTCTATCCCTGGTTTTTTAAGTAGCATTCATGCCACCGCTAAGGATTTACTCCCTTTGCATTAGTCTCCTTATTTCATTGACATTTTCCTTTCTGAAGCTTGGTGTCAAGGTCACATTTGGTGTCCTCCCCACCCCTGAGAGTGTCAAACCTAATTCTGTTGTGTGGTGACTGTAACTTAGTGGCTCTGCTACTGTCACTTCTTGAATTAACTCCTCTGTGTTAGCGAGATCAGTCGTTCTCCTTGTGCGCTTTAGCCTGAGCTGGTCCATGAAGTGACTACTTAACACATTGAGAAATGGTTTTCCTAATCTTGGTTCCATTTTCCCAGTTGCTAAGTGGGTAGCTGAGATCCTCTTTGTTTCCATTTTGTCAGACTTCGCTGCCTTGTTGATCTCTCTCAGCACTGTGCACTCAATTTCCTGTTCTTGGTGCTAGCACCATTACAATTAAGGCTCAAACTAAACTTACTGCATAACAACTGATTTTTCTGAGTGCTCAGAAATCCATATCCAAACTCCGATTGCCTAGAAATGTGCTGTGCCTCAGCAGTGCTCACGGCAGGTGGTCCAAATCCAGGCTAAAGTTGAGCCCGGGGTTCCCAAGACATGCCTGAAATTATCGCATTACAGCAAAGTGTTTAGGGTTTTTATAAAAATTTTTGCACCCACCTGGGGTTCAAACTATTGCCCTGATCCTGCCCTGCATTGATCACAGCTGGTGTCTGGCACCTCCTTGGGAAAGCAACATTTCCAATGTGCGGTGGAGTGGGAGTTAGATCCCCCAGGCAGCTCATGTCTGGGGAACAAGCCAAGGAGAGTGGTTGGAGTGCGGTCCGCAGGACTGCTGGTCGGCAGGGGGCAAAAGACACAGCTGCCCTAGAGTCACAGAGCAGCTCACAGCAACAGGAGACAGCTACATGTTGGCAGGAAGTTCAAGTCCTGCCCTCTGCAGATTTCTGAGCTTGTCAGCTGTGCCAATTCCATCAGGGTGGGGGCAGTGTCACAGGGCTTCTTTCGCTTGGGAGCAAAGCTTTTTCATTAAGGACTGATCTTTCCCAGCACTCTAAAATCCATATGCACAGTAAGATTGTTCTGAAAGCTGCTTCCTCAGGGCCGGAGGTGGAGCAAGTGCTGCTGAGTGAGGGCTGGGCTCGCCTGGAGCCGGTTTTGCGGCTGGCTGCACTCAACGCCCCGAAAGGGCACCGTGCACCGCCACCCCCCTGTGAGTGGGCATTAACGCAGTTTTGGGGCAGTGGCTGTAGTTCCATTCTCAGCCCTGGGACTCGTGTCCCAGGCAGAACCAGCAACATGAGCCTCTGCTCTCTAGGTGTTGGTCACATGAGCTTCTATGGCATCCTTTAGGCACAGTGCTGCTCCCCCCCCACTCCAGCCTTTCAGCTTCCCACCCTGTACCACACCCCCGAAGTGTCCCCTGCCCCATGCTCTCTGGCTTCTCTGGCCCCTGTGTCCCTCACCCTCCATCCCCCAGCTGCCTTGGATTAGAATTTTGGCCTCATGAGCATGCTAGCCCCCACTACCAGTGCTGTCAAGGGGCCTCAGCCTAGTGGATTCAGCACCCTCCAGCCCCATTTCTTAGCCCTGCCTGCCCTCCCATCACTGATCCTGGCTGGCGCTACCAGACAGGGCCTGAGGGAATCCCATTGAAGCAACTGGGCAGCATTTGTGCCACCTCCAACTGCTGCTGACCAACCCCACATGCAGCATTTCTCTAGTAGAGTCCCAGATCCCCCCCCCCCAATCCTGCATCAGAGAGGGGTGCTGGGTAGGGAGAGGGGCTATAGATGGAGGCTGTGCTGCGTGAACCCCACCAGGCCCTGCCAGCTCCCAGCAGGTGATGCCATTCAGTCATTTGAACAAGCTTTATATCCTCCCATTGGAATAAGCAGCATGCCCCCGCAGACCCACAGCGAGATCCTCCAGCCCCCAGGCACCAGCGAGACATGCCCCGCCTCAGCGAGATTCTCCAGCCCCCATGCACCAGCGAGATCCCTCCCACCCAGACCAGCAAGTTCTCACAGGGAACAGTTACCAGGGTGACCAGAAGGGCAGCTATGCTGTGTCACAGCTGTGCATCCCCCATCAGTGTTATAGGGTCCCCCTCTGGGCCTGGTCCATGAGGCCAGGACTCTGTCAGGCCCCAGCTCCCTTCTCTGGAGGGCCCCAGTTCAATCACCTAGAGGCACTGATGGGCCAGGGCACCACCCATGGCTCTGGCTGTGACAGACCTTGCCACTGGGGGGCCCTGCACCGTTTCAGGGGCTGGGGTTCAAACCAGGGCCAAGTCCACACTTACATGATGGGCTCCACCTTGGGGGATCAAACCAGGGTTCTCTGGAGCTCCCAGCTGGAGCTGAAGAGATGGGGGCTGTACCCGACTCACATCCTCTGGGGTTGAGGCGCAGAGGGGGATGCGTCACCGATGTGGACCTCAGGGGGCTTATGCACCCCATGCTCTATTCTAAGGGCTATGGTGACCACAGCCACTCTGGGATTGCAGCTGAAGGAGCAGCTGGCCATGTGTCCCTGCTCACTGTGCGCCAACAGCCCCACACAGGAGTCTGTGCAGGTAACTCAGCATGCAGTGGGCACCCTCCCACAATGCTGGGCCTGTGCTGTTCCCTGAGCGCCCTGGGGAGAACGTGGGACTAAAACCAGCAGCACCCTGGCTAACGAGGGACAGACAAGGAGGGAAGGCCCAGAAGGGGCAGGATTGAAACGTATCCAAATTGGTGCTTCTCCCCAGGAGCTCCACAGCCTTTGGACCTTCAGACCACTCCCTCTGGTCCTTAGGGTGAAAGCACAGCACAGTGCCCTGCTGCTGGGCTGTGTCGTTGTGCCCCATGGCAGAGCTGTGTCGCAGAGGGCCCAGGAGCTACTGGGGGCTGGGATCAGAGCTGCAGGGGGATGGGGATGCAGGCACTAGCTACAGCTCTTGCTGTGTCACATGCACATTGCAGGAGTGCCCAGAGCCCTGCCAGGATACAGGCCCCACAGTGCCAGGTTCTGCACAGACACCAGGAGACCCAGCCTGGCCCTGCAGTGCTCCCAATCCAAGTGACATGCTAAGGATGCAGAGAGAGGCATAGGTGCCAACTTCTCCTGGCGCCAGTAGGCGCTCACACCCCCGCCCACCCTGGCCCTGCCCCCACCCTGACTCCACCCCTTCCCCACCCCACCCCATTCCAACCCCTTCCCCAAAGTCCCTGCCCCAACCCCGCTCCCTCCCTACCCCATTGGACTCCTTCCCCAAATCCCTGCCCCGGCCCCACCTCTTCCCTGCCTCCTCCCCTAAGCATGCGGTGTTCCTGCTCCTCCCCCTCCCTCCCGGGGCTTGTTACACTGCAAAACAGCTGTTTTGTGGCGGCAAGCACTGGGAGGAGAAGTAGGAATGGCACATTCAGGGGAGGAGGTGGAGGTGAGCTGGAGTGGAGAGCTGCCAGTGGGTTTTTCCCCTGGGTGCTCCAGCCCCGGAGCCTTGGAGCACCCACGGAGTCGGTGCCTGTGGAGAGAGGGACCAGCCCCCAGACCCACCATAGGGCAGGCAGGGCAAGGGACAGAGAGCTACATAAAAAACTCAGAAGCAGGGCTGAAGTCCAGCAGGAATCTGAAATCCAGGCCATGGTTTCCCTTTGACTGTCCAGCTCCAGCAACTAGTCATTTAAAATATGGATAATACAAACAGGACTTGGATGCCTGAGCCCCTGGATTGCCCCCAGCGGGGCACCCCGCAGAGGGTGGGGAGGACAGGCCTGGATTCCTGAGCCCCTGGAACGGGCGTTGGGTGCTCTACGGTGCGCGTCGGGTGACTAGACAGCAAATGTGAAAAATTGGGACGGGGGTGGGGGGTAATAGGAGCCTATATAAGAAAAAGACCCCAAAATCAGGACTAAAATCGGTACATCTGGTCACCCTAGGTGTGCACTGGCTCAGGGATGGGCAGAGAGGCCTGCACTGGGTGAGGCGGCTGTTCCATTAGCGGTTCTCAGGCTGCATCGGGAACCCAGAGCTGGCACACAGGGCGGGGATTACACTCCAGGGAAGTGACCAACAATGCAGCTCACTGGGATTTTAGGCACCATAGGTCTCCGGAGGCGGGGGCGGTGGAGGAGGAAAGAGGGCAGGGACGGCCCTGCAGGCTGACTGGGGCTAAGGTTCCTGGCACAGTGATTCCCAGCCCAGAGCCCCAGGAGGGGGCCCTGCTCCTGAGGGGGCCCAGAGCCCTGGATGCATTGGTGGCAGGTGGCCCTTGCCCTGTGGGCCTGAAGCACAAGTTGGGGGTTGCTGCAGTTACTGCTGGACTGCAGCTGCCCCAGGGCTGCCTCCAGCAATGGTCAACCTGATTCCCTTCCCCTGCCCCCAGTCTATAGTCTACTTCACACCACCAGAACGAGAAGGGGGATGGGGCCCCAGGCTTGGGCTGCCTCCTGCTTCTATTGAAGCCAACAGTGAAGCCCAGCAGATTAGCAAGGGGCCTGGAGTGTGCATCTCTATACAAGAACCACTTTGCCTGCTGCAGAAATACGGCCACTGCTGGGGCGGGCCACCCCACTGTCAACAGCCATGCAGCACAGCAGCTTAGGCCAGGAAGGGCAGAGGAGCCAGTATCCAATGGGCAGACGGAATTCAGGATTCATGCCGTCACCCAGACTGAATGTGGCCTGGATGCCACAGCTCCAGAAAACAGCAACCCCCTGCTGCCCAGCAATGGGGTCAGCCCCACCTGAGGGGAGAGTGCGACCCAGCAGAGCCACCCGCCCCCTCCCTGCAGCACAGCTTCCCCCAGCACGGTGCGGTGCAATGGGATCAGTGCTGACACCACCACCCTGGCTCTCCGTTGCCCCT